GTGCGAATACACTTCAACTTCTTTCCTGTTTCTCTCTCAACGGAAGCATGAAAATGTTTAAAGACCCCAAGAACTTGGTCTTTATACCTCAAGGCATACACCCATAGTTTCCTTGAGCAATCATCAATGAATGTCACAAAGTAACGTGCACCACCATGCGTCTTTGTCTTCATAGGACCACAAACATCTGAATGTACCAATTCAAGCAACTCTGATTTTCTGAAAGATGGACGACTCTTGAAGGACACCCTGTTCTGTTTCCCAGCCAAGCAGTGACTGCACCTTTTTAAATTTGCATCCTTCACTCCTGACAGAACATTCTTCTTGGCTAAACAATCAAGACCCTTCTCGCTGATGTGACTGAGTCTTCTATGCCATAATTCTGAAGAACTATCACTCTCGACTGCATTGACAGAATCAACAGAGACTGAAGCATTGGTCCAGTATAAACCTGAACACTTCTTCCCACGAGCCACAATAAGAGAACCCTTAGTGAGTTTGCATTGCCCATCACCAAAGGTACTCACATAACCTTCATCATCCAAGACACTAGTAGATATCAGATTCAAGCGAATATCTGGTGCATGTCGAACATTCTTCAACACTAACTTCATCCCAGTTTTGGTTTCCAGGACCACAACTCCAATGCCAACAACTTGTGAACGACCATCATTACCCATCTTCAATACCCCATAATCACCTGGAGTATAAGATGTGAAGAAATCTTTCCTTGACGTCACATGGAAAGCGGCACCACTATCGATAACCCAACTTGATTCATCAGAGGCAACATTAATCAAGTCGTTATCAGAAACAACTATCAGATCACTTGAAGTCGTGGCTGCAACATGGCGATCATTTTCACCATCTTTCCCTTCTGGCTTATTCTTGTCTTTGTTCTTCAGCTTGAAGCAGTTTTTCATCAAGTGCCCCTTTTTATGACAATAATGGCACTCAACATTTTGGTATTTTGATCTGGACTTGCTCCTGCTCTTGCCCTTTTTGATTTCTCCATGATCTCTGTTTTTACTTCTCCCCTATTTTCAGTAACCAAGACATCGGATTTTGAAGTAGATGTCTCATGAGTTCTACGTCTCACTTCTTCATTCAGAACGGCAGCTTTGACATACTCCATAGTTACTGTACCACCGGGAGCAGAACTAATCAAAGACACACGAAGATTTTCCCAAGAATCAGGCAAAGTATTCAGCAACCAAAGCCCCAAAATCTCATCCTCGAACTTTACGCCCATGTCTGACAACTGATCAAAACACCCTTGAAATTCATTCAAGCGGTCAGAAATAGAAGAACCTTCCTTGAATCTCAGATTCATAGCTTGCCTAAGCAAGTATAGCTTGTTATTCCCTGTTTTTGATGCATACAAGGATTCAAGCTTGTCCCACAGAGTTCTAGCATGAGATTCATTGTAGATGTGATTCAGCACATTATCATCTACCCACTGACGAATGAAACCACAAACCATTTCATGTTCAAAAGCCCACTCTTCATCACTTTTTGACTCTGGCTTCTGAGTAGAAAACACCGGTAGATGCAGCTTTTTCACAAAGAGTAAATCCTTCATTTTACCCTTCCATTTGTGATAATTTGTGCCATTCAAACTGATCATCCTGCTGTAATTTGGCTCCATCATTCAATCAAGACAAATAACAGATAACTCTAGTTGCTCTGATACCACTTGTTGGGAAAGCAAGAACACAAATGAATGTGTAGTGCCCAAGATCAACACCTTTCCCTCTTGAATGAATCTGTGAGGAGCAACAAACAAACACACCAAAGAACACCAAGCAACAAGATAATCAAGCACGAAAAATAAAGCGATATGAGGCACGAGATTTTAACGTGGAAAACCCTTTCAACGTGAAAGAGTAAAAAACCACAAGACCCTTCGGTCCAACCAACTCCACTACCACCAAATTGAGAGTACAAATGCACAATATAACAGCACCACAATGATATCTAGCCCTTAACAATACTACGAAGGCACTAGAATCAAAATAGAGGAACAAAAGTGCAAGAAATCACCAAAAAAACAGCAGCTGGTGCGAAGCTCATAACTTGAGATTGAACCGTTGAAATTCGATCTCCACCGTTCAGATTGAAGCTCCACGAGTCCTTAGACTCCTCCTAAAATTTCAGCTCGATCGGACAAGATTTGGACCTCCAATCGACCAAAAAACCAGGTCTGCGTTTTTCTGAAAATGGCAGCGGCTATCTCACTTCTTGCGGCTGTTTTACTCTCTTTTTGTGCGTGAATATCCGTGTTGTGGTACTGGACAGCTGCCAAACTTTTACTCTCAAAAATATGTGGACAAAAATGCATTGAAGACTTATCCTCCAAAAATATTTGGGCCTTTTAATTTAAAGATGACACATAGTTGGGAGCTCAAACCCAACATTTTTCTTAGGGAGTACGATGTATTTGTTTGGGCATTAAGCCATGTATAATGGGGGACTTGACGGGGCTTGATGGGTTGTAAAGGAACCTGATTTATAATAATAAAAATGTATGTGTTACAACTTGAATTTTTTTTTAAAAAAAGAAAGAGGCATGTCACAACTAAATCGCCATCACGAAAGAACGGGCAACACCGCATCTTGAAACTTGCTGCGTGGGGGGTGGGCATGAAGGAGGTGGTAATGCCCTCTCCACACACCACCACTATAAATAGTCTTAAGTCTTAACTGTGTTGGTTAGACGCAATACGGAGTACATTTCATCAGCCAACCATGCTAAGTGTATCACAATTGTACACTGAAAGTTTGATGCTTCATACTCACACAAAATATTAATACATCAAAAAATTTAGAAATCACCTTAAATAGGACTAAAACATAGAGAAAAGTACCAAAATAAGACTTTCATGTTTTTTTCCCGGAATAGAACTTTACACAGTAGTAATGCATGTGACTTTGCATTGTGGTAATGTGTTAGAGTTTATCGTATCCCACATCGGAAGTTGAATAGAAAAGTTATCGGTATATAAGGTCTTGAGTTAAACTAAGTAATCGATTGGATTCAATCTTTTAATGTGGTTCAACCCAAGTCGTCTCTTATTGCCCAATCCAGTTGTCTCTACCCAATCCTAAATTCTATCATAATGTGGCAATGTACATGTGCAAATTACTATACTTTTTTGGTAATGTAAGTCCTATTTCGGGACTAAAAACATGAAAGTCCTATTTTGATATATTTTTAATGTTTTAGTCCTACTTTAGTCGTCTTTCTTCTCAAAAAAATTTGAATTATCATTTGGTGACAATGTGAAGCATCACAATTTCAGTGCTTACCTAGAGTATACAATCTATACAATTTAGGATAAGTCTTTATGCTTGTGATAAGTTAGTTAAATAACCACGCAAGCAATTACGATTTGTCATAATACTTTGCTCAAAAGTTCCTAAGTCCCCATTCACAAAGACAATGTTGCTTCCAAGCTACCATTAGATGGCGACATCTATATTTATACTCCAATTGAATTGAATAACGTAAGAAAAAGTCTTTTTCTATGACAAATTACGTGGGGTGTAAATCAAGTTATTATATATACTACCCCGTATACCCCAATTTGGCATACAAAATTTATTTACTACTTCTCAAATTTGTTTAGTTTTTTTTTTGTTGTCAAAACTGATAAACTTTGATCACAAATTAAATAAAAATATTATTAGATATTGATACAAAACTATTTTATTAGATCTATATTATAAAAAATTTTAATATATTATTTTATCTAACTAATATATCATATACTACGTATATTTTATTTAATTAGATAAAATACTATTTTATCTAATTAATATACCATTGCATATATTTTTAAAATATTATTTATCTTATATTATTATTATTATTATTAATTATTAGTATAATAATTAAATCTCCCATCCCCCCTCACTACCCATTGGATTTGAGTATGGGGACGTCTAATGGACGATCCATATTTCATCATCATGAATAATTATCCTAAATAAGAATAAAATATAAAGAAAATACTAAAATAAGATCTTCTTGTTATTACTCACAAAATAAGAGTTTGCACTCTAGTAATGACACTGTATATGTATATTTCTCAATACTTTTTGGTAATGATTGGACCTTACAAAACAGACCCGTACCTGATAACCCAAACTAAAAAAACCTGAAAATGAATCCGAAATGACCTGAAAATTGAAGAATCAAATTATAACCGAACACCTAAATGATCTGAATCAAACCGAATGTATTCAAATACAATTTAGATCTGAATCCAAACCTGGAACAGGTTAAATCCGAAACTGACTAGACCCAAAACTGATTGGACCCGATATTGATAAAACTTAAAACAAATTAAACTCAAATCCAATCAAACCTAATAACTCATTAGTTGATGTCTATCTGAGAAAAACTATATTTGAGATATTTGTATAACTACTTTTATTTATTAATTTTATATTCGTATTTTATCACTTAAACTAAGGTGGTATAGTAACATATTTTATTCAGAGTATATACGGAGTATAATTTATAGTGACACCGTAGCACCCATTGATGGATATATTATCCCATTATTGATGAAACTTGTATGTATTCCCTCTATGCATAGGGAGGAGAGGCTACACACAAGGTAACATTAGAAACCTAATACTATGGGACCACATCCAAAACCGGTTAAAATCCAAGTGATATGAACCCGAATTGGTATAAATTTGAACTGATATAAACATGAACTAAAATCTATCCGAAACCGACACCTAACCAAACCGAAATCGAATTAAGACTAGAAAAAATCAAATCAAGTTGAACCTGGGATCGAGTTAAACCAAACCAAACCGATTATAACATATATTCGAAAGACACCCAAACCGAAAAGATTTGAACTAAAATCAAACCGATTGACCATATTACCAGGTCTAGTCATGATTTCTATATATGTATCTTAACTCCTATTTCGAGAACAAAAACATAGAACTTTTATATTCATATTTTTCAATATTTTATTTCTATTTGTCTTTTTCCCCTCCTCCCTTCCCGCTCTCTCTAAATAATTTGGAGTACACTACTACAAAAAAGATCAAATCAACTACTTCATTTGCATCGGTTTCAGAGAAAACCAATGCAAATGTGATTTAAAATTTCGCCAACTGTTGGTTTTGAATCGGTTATTAGCTAGTACTAATAATTTGAATAGCCCATTGAATCGGTTATTACTAATAACCGATTCAAAAGATTTTTCTCATTTTAATTGGTTATTAGTAACCAATTATATCACGGATCGTCACGAAACGCACCCACCCCTACCTATTCTGGGAGGCACCTTTTGATTCGGTTCTTACTAAATAACTGATTCAAACGGTGCTCCGCAAAGTGGCACCAATTCTGGGGAGCACCTTTTGAATTGATTATTTTGTAATAACCGATTCCAAAGGCGCCTCCTCAAAATGGCGTCAGTCATGAGAAGCACCTTTTGAATCGGTTATTACGGAGTACTAAACAACTGATTCAAAACCCCTTCCAGACGCGAATTATGTACTCATGGAGGACTTTTGCATCGGTTGAACAACCAATGCAAAAAGTATTTACATCAATTGCATTGCTGCCTTTTGCATCTGGTAGGAACCGATTCAAAAGACAAAAAACAACCGATGCAAAAGCTAATATCTGTAGTAGTGGTATCTCTTTCCTTTTTTAATTAGAACCAACGAAATTAGTTATTGTAAAATATTTTTTCACTGATGTTTTTACTAAATAAAATAGGCTGCCAAATAGATCTTAATTTTTTGTTCAACTTTACCTTTCTTTATTTAGTGCAAACATTTGTAAAAAGGAAAATGAGGTTGGCGGCAAGCTTGCTCTTGTCATTTCTTTTCCCCTGCCTTCTTAACTTCAAGCAATATTCCGAATGGGGTAAAGTATATACCCCTCATTATATTTCCTGGTCTTATCCGGCCTTGACCCAATTATACATGATTGGTATTTGAATTGACCAAATCCAATTGTGTCCAAGTTTATATATAAACCCATTAGTAACAGTTGATCATCCACCGTGGTCCGACTCAGATTCATGAACAGAATCAATAAGATGTTAAATACCCGAAATTACTGCTGCTTCCTCACCAGGAAGAAGAAGAATAAAAAATTGCAGAATAGAAATAGCAATATTAATAATAGTAATAATAATAATTATAATAGTAAGATCGTGAATTACGGCGGCGGCGGCATAGCCGGGAGGTGGCGGATTCTGAGCGGCGAGAACCAATGGGAAGGCCTATTAGACCCTCTGGACAGCGACCTCCGGCGATACATAATTCACTACGGGGAAATGGCTCAGGCGACCTACGACAACTTCATTCGCCAGAAAGCGTCCAAGTTCGCCGGAGACTGGCGGTACCCGCGGCAGAGCATCCTCGGAAATGTCGGCCTGGTGAAGGGGAATCCCTTCAAGTACTCTGTCACGAGATACGTCTACGCCACGTCATCGGTTCCGGTCCCGGACGCCTTCATCTTGAAGTCGGATTGGAACAGGGAGTCGAATTGGATCGGGTTTGTGGCGGTGGCGACGGAGGAGGGCGCGGCGGCGCTGGGGAGGAGAGACATATTGGTTGCTTGGAGAGGGACGGTTCGGAATCTGGAATGGGTCGATGATTTCGCATGTGTTTTTTCCGATGCGCCGGAGATATTTGGCGGGAAGGCCGCCGCCGCCGGTCCGAAGGTTCATCTTGGTTGGTATTCTATTTACACTTCCCGGAATCCTAAATCGCCGGTTACCAACATCAGTGCAAGGGACCAGGTAAATATACATTCCATCCATGTTAGTTTTAATTTTTTATGTCAACTAGAAATAATTTTTGATCAATAATTAAAATGAAATTTTAGCCAATATATTTTTTCAAATTTACATTTACTTCTACAGAAATAACTATTTCGAGAATATATTTTAAATTTGGATGATCAAAATACCAAAATATCTCTCAATTAATCATCATTTGACTAATATTAATTACGAAGAACTATGTTGGGAATAAATTTCAATTATAGAGGACTATGTCGGTAATTAAAACTTATCGGGTAATGAATTGAGAAAATACTTTATTACAAAGGATCATTTTAGAAATTTACTCTAATTTAAATAAGTTAATTCGAAAATTAATTGATTGGGATTTTAATTGATTTGGAATAATTTAAATAAAATAAAAATAAAAAATAAGTAATGATGAAGGGGCATGAACTATTACACATAATTTTGTTTTAAAATGATTTTGCTGACATGTCGCACGTATGGCAAAAAAACATTTGAGAAAGGCTCCAACCACTACAAATGGTCTAAGAGTTATGACTTATGGGGTGTGAGGAGGGGTCAGGCTTAACCACGTGTGATGGGGTGTAGTCCTAGCGTTGCGATGACAATCACGCAATTTTCATCCCTTCTTTTTTTTTTTTTTTAATTCTAACCAAGATGATTCGCAACCAATAAAATAATTCGCAATTTTGCATCATACTACTTCCCTTCTCACACACTGACATATATTCTCACAAAATTTCACTCTTTCTAATTGTGTATGTCACTTGCGTGTCCCAAACAACTCAATAGTGGAGGAGCAATGCTAGAGGTACACCAAAAGTGTACCCCATTTGTCTCTCACCTCTTTTTCCACCATTCATTTTTATTTTATTTTTATTTATTTATTTTTTTTAGTCTCTTGCCCATTTTTGTGTTAATGGAGGGAGTGGGGGACAAATGGGGTACACCAGTGTACCCCTAGCATTTTTCATAATGGAATGAAAGAGTAAGCACCCATTTTAGGGATAATTCAAATAAGTATTCCCGATGTCTTAAATTCAACTTTTCAATTTAATTTTTGTGATTAAACCTTTTGAACTTTGACTACATAATACAGAAAAATACATAGAATTTTCAAATAAATTTAATGTTAGTGAATTTGTTTTGAAACAAAGTTTTAAAATATCTTATTTTTACAATATATATTTATATATAAATGAAGATATTGATAATTAATATTGTACCCGTAACAAATAGAAAAATTAATTTTAGGATGCAAAGAGTAACAAATTATCCATGTACGGGGTGTATATACAGGTTCTTGGAGAAATATCAAGGCTGGTGAACCTTTACAAGAATGAGACAATCAGCATAACAATAACCGGCCACAGCATGGGGGCAGCCGTGGGGACCTTAAACGCCGTCGACATCGCCATCAACGGGCTCAACAAGGCGGCGGCCGGAAAGAACCCTGCCTGTCCGTTGACGGCATTCCTCTTCGCCAGCCCAAGAGTGGGAGACACAAACTTCAAGAAGTGCATATCAGGGCTTCAGAGTCATCTTCACATTCTTCGCGTCCGGAACGCGTTGGACATCGTGCCGAATTACCCCCCAATAATAAGCTTTGCAGACGCCGGAGTGGAGCTGGGGATTGACACGACCAAGTCGGAGTATCTGAAGTGCCCCGGGGACCCCACCGCCTGGCATAGCTTGGAAGCTTACCTGCACGGAGTTGCGGGATGCCAAGGGGCAAAAGGGGGATTTGAAATTGAGAAAGGGGTGCGTGATATTGCACTTGTTAACAAGCATTTGGATGCGCTGAAGGATGAGTACTGTGTGCCAGTTTCGTGGTGGGTTGAGAAGAACAATGGGATGGTTCAACAAGGGGATGGGTCTTGGGTTCTTATGGATCATGATCGTGATGGTGAGGATGCGGATTAGTGATTTTCCCCACCATTTATAAATGTTAATTCCTCCAAATTCCATCACAAAATGATGAGTTTCTACGGAAAATTGTGTCAATATTTGATTGTTTATTTTTCTTAAAATGCGTTGTAAATAAAAGAGTAAAAATTCCATAATTGGTCCTTTATAATAGAGGTTTTCATATTTAGTCCTCTACTATCAAATATTACCACGTAGTCCTTTTTTTAAGGGTGCATTTCCACAAATGATCCTTTTTAAATTTTCTACCGTGTTGGTATTAATTTAAAGATTAAAAGTAATCTCAAATGGATCGAGTGATGGACGCACCAATACCATTAATGACACATTCGTCACCGTGCCAAAACGGCACATATGCATCTCCCAAACATGACCCATCACTACACCTCATTATATTATTCGCTTGACGACTTCTAACTATACCTTTCCTAGTCTCTTTATTTTACTTCCTCATACTTTCAAAGCTAGTACGTACTAGCCTCTTTATTACCATTCTTATATTGATAGTCTATGAATGTGTGTGCTGGATTGGTTGGTTATTTGGTTCGTCACGCTTTGCACTTTACACAACAAACTCAATATATTCCATATACCTAGATGCTATGGGTATACCAAACCAAATGTATACCATCTATTTTGTAACCACACATTTTTATTTTACATTTTTCATTTTATACATGGATAGATATTGGAGCACTTGGGGTACATTTAGAGTACCACTAGCATTTTTCAAGATCTATTCCGGCACAAGCCAAGCTAAAAGAGAGACTGCTCTTTTAGTGGACCAAATTAGGAAAATGCTAGAGCCACAAAAAAATAGTTCACAAACTTGTCTTTTGTAACTTTAAAATTAAATTAGCTTTTATTATTTAGGTGCATTTAATTTCTAGGATAATGTTAAAAAGGCACATTTGTGAATTTTGTGAGCTGTTTGTTTGTGACTCTAGCATTACTCACCGAATTAAGGTCCACATCATTTTAAGTGAAATGTCACGCCTAGCCATGACGCCGCGTGAAGTTGGTTGTGGCCACCATCCTAAATCTTGCTTCCTCCACAACTTCGATTTTTATTTTGTGCTTCTTAAATATTGTCTAAGTCCCAATTTAAGTTACACGTTTACTATTCACAAGGTCAAAATTTTACGATGTTGTTGACATATGTTAACAACCAATTTGAGAAAAATAATAGTTTTATCACTTTTTGTTTTATAGAATTTTTAGTGTAATTTTTAATTACATGTATAATATTATTTTCTAATTTTTTTACCAATTTTCAAATAAATTTAAATTGAAAATAACTTCAATCAAACCTCGTAAACAACAACAGATTCTTTTTTAGATAGGTATTACGATATTTAGTTATCATACTACAATTTTGTTATATGTATTACTATACTATTAATCGTTATTTTAAAGAAAATAGTTTATAGAACTTAATTTGTTAGGACAAATCTCATTTTTTTCGTCTTGTCAAGGACCTTCGAATCCTCGAGGCTGGTCTTGGGGAAGCGATTGGCTTTCTATATATATACTCTTTCCGTCACTTAAACTCCTTGCGCTTTCTTTTTTCTTGTCCTCCTAACTCATTTTCTTATCTATTAAAAAACCTACTTTTACTCCTTATTTTTTTATACTCTACCTATCACATCATACGTTTTTACTAATAATCTATCAATAACATCTTACTTTTACCCATCACAGCAAAGGTATTTTTGGAAAGTTAACACCAAAATATCTCTTCTTTAATTTCTCAAAGAGTCAATAAGAGAACGATTTTAAGGGACGGAGGGAGTATATAACATGCCTCCCACACGTACTATATATCCATCGTCAATCCCCCGAGCATTTTCTATTCCTTATACATTGGAGAAACATTTAACTCAACCGCAGGATGAGTAGCATAGCGAAGAGGTGGGAAGAGCTAAGCGGGGGCAAAAACTGGGAGGGACTAATAGACCCTCTAGACATTGATCTCCGCAAGTACCTCATCCACTACGGGGAGAGGGCCCAGGCCACCTACGACGCCTTCAACGCCACCCTCACCTCCCCTCTCGCCGGAAGCAGCCGCTACTCCGAGGCCAGCCTCTTCCCCAAGGTCGGCCTCGAAAGCGGCAACCCGTTCAAGTACGAGGTCACAAAGTACTTCTACGCCACGTCGTCCCACCCAGTCCCTGACGCCTTCATCGTCAAGCCTCTCGGGCTCGACGCGTGGAGCACGGAGTCCAACTGGATGGGGTACGTGGCGGTGGCGGCCGACCCCGCCGGGAAGGCGGCGCTGGGGAGGAGGGACATAATTGTGTGTTGGAGAGGGACGGTTAGGACGCTGGAGTGGGTCAATGACTTCGATATCACGTTAGTGCGCGCGGATAAGATCTTTGGGGGGAACGGCGGCGGCGGCAGTAGTACTAGTCCGATGGTTCATGGAGGTTTTTACTCTATTTACACTTCTCAGAATCCAAAGTCGGCTTTCAATGTCACTAGTGCAAGAGATCAGGTACGTTTACATCCACCAGCTATTAATTAATTATAACTAATCTTGTATGGGTCACCTAAGTCATAAGTATCTAGGTACTTTCTAGTTGCACCTTTTTTTTTATTTGTACCAATATATTACTTCCTCCAGCCTTAAAACATTAGCTAGTTTTGATTTAGGAAGTTTAACTAAAGTTATTTTTAATCTTTTTATTTGATTGTAGGTGTATAATTAGAAAATAAAAACTATTCACATTACATTGTCAACGCGTACTCTTGCACCACATTATCATTATACTTCTATTTTGGTCTTAAAAGACTTAGGATTCCTATTTTGATATTTTCATACTTTTTAACTTGTACTCCCTCCGTCCGGAAATATTCTTCTCATTTTCCTTTTTGGTCCGTCCGAAAATAATCTTCTCATTTCCTTTTTTAGTATGCTTTTTAAGGCTAAATATCAATAATACCCTTTTATTTTATCACAAATCTACTTTTTTAATACTTTTTTAATAATAAAAGGAGATTTAAAAGTTTATAGTATGTGCATTTTTGAAAATTTTGCATTTTTTATTATTCCTTAATAAGCGTGCCAAGTCAACACGGGAAGAACATTTCCGGACAGAGGGAGTATCCAGGAAGATTTCTTTAATTAATACTACTTTTGTCTTTGAGTAATTGTGTAGCGTTGACTTTTTGCAGTCAACTATTTTTGATCTTTGATCTCGAATTAAAAAGAAATTATATGATGTATTTAGTAGATAAAATATTATTTAGAAAATATTGTATAAAATAAATCTAATAAAATTATATTTGTATCAATATTTAATACTCCCTCCGTCCCTTAAAGTCGTTCTCTTATTGACTTTTTGGGAAATTAAGGGAGGAATATTTTGGTGTTGACTTTCCAAAAATACCCTTGATGTGATGGGTAAATGTAAGATGTGATGGATAGATTATTAGTAAAAAGGTATGATGTGATAGATTGGATATGAAAAAATAAGGGGTAAAAGTGGTTTTTTAATACGTACGTAGTAGTTAAAGGAAGGAGTTAGTAAGATAAGAAAAAAAAGAAAGGGAAAGAAGTTTAAGGGACGGACGGAGTAAAATTTTATTTAATTAGTTGTTAAAGCAAGAGAGGGGTGCCAGAGGTTGGGGTGAGGATTTTAGAGTAAAAATGGTTAATTTTTACAAATGAATGATGGTAGATGCTCCAATTGGACTTTAGTTAGGTTGTTGTCTAAAGAATTGTGGCTCTAGATTTGGACGGAGGCTTTTTATCTGATGGACTTAATTATAATGTCTTTAGGTTTTGGCCGAAGTGAAGAGGTTGGTGGAGCTATACAAGAACGAAGAAGTGAGCATAACCACCTGCGGGCACAGCCTTGGGGCATCACTCGCAACTTTAAACGCAGTGGACATAGCCACAAACGGAGCCAACAAACCAACCGACGCCGGAAAAGCCTTTCCGGTTACCGCCTTCGCGTACGCCTGCCCCCGGACCGGCGACCACAACTTCAAGAAGGCCATCGAGGCGACCCCAAACCTCCGCCTCCTGCGCGTCCGCAACGTCCCCGACATCGTCCCCCAAGTCCCCCCTGCAACTTTGCTGACAGGCTACGCAGACGTTGGCGTGGAACTGGCAATCAATGTCACAAAGTCGAGTTATGTGAAGGCCCCCGGGGAGTTGTCGAGTTGGCATAGTCTCGAGGCTTATTTGCATGGGATTGCCGGAACAAAAGGGGTCAGAGTTGGGGATGGTTTTGAGTTGGTGGTGGGTAGGGGTATCGCCCTGGTGAACAAGTCATTGGATTATTTGAAGGAGGAGTATGGGGTTCCTCAGAAATGGTGGACGGAGAAGAACAGGGGAATGGTTCAAGAAGATGATGGGTCTTGGAAATTGATGGACCATGAAGAGGGTTATACTCCAACACCACCATAATTTAGTGGGTGGTCTCTTGAATAATGTCACAACTTCCACATATGGAAAGTGACACTTTAATTATTACTCCGTAATATTTGTATTAAATAATGTCACACTATAAGTCTATAACTTCCGCGATATGGGATGTAACACTTTGATTATTAAGATCTGTATTAAATAATAGAGTAAATTTTTTAATTTGTCCTTTATAAATGGGGGATTTTTATATTTAGTCCACATTTATCAAATATTATATTGACAGTTCTTATTAATTGGATATTATTCCACGTTTAGTCCTCCGTCTATTTTTTTTGTCACGATGCCGTTAGACAAAGACCAAACGTAGAATGGTACCCTATCAATAAGGACCACAAAATAATATTTGATAATATGGACTTAATATGGAAATTCTCCCGTTATAAAAAACTATTTGGAGAGTTTACTTTTTTAAAACCATTTTTAATATTGCAATAACTACCTCCGTCTTTGAGTATTTTGTCCAATTTTGACTTTTTGCAGTCAACCATTTTCAACATTTGACCTATAATTAAATAAAATTATTCAAATAAATCCAATAAAATTATTTTTGTATCAATATCTAATATTAATTTCATTTAATTCGTGATCAAAGATTACCGATTTTGACAAAAAAAAACTCAAAAGCAGATCAATACTCTGGGATTCATGGGAAGAAGATAGTAATAAATGTGAAAAGAATATGATTGTAGTTTGTATATAAAAAGTCAAAATTATCATTAAAAATAATTTACCAAAAAATTTATTTTTTAATATGAGAATTATCTTGGAAGATATAGTAATTAATATGTACTCCCTCCGTTCGGAAATATTCTTCCCATTTTTTTCTTTTTGGTCCGCCCGGAAATATTCTTCCCATTTCCTTTTTTAGTATACTTTTTAAGGCTAAATATCAATAATACCCTTCTATTTTATCACAAATCTACTTTTTTAGTACTTTTTTAATAATAAAAGGAGATTTAAAAGTTTATAGTATGTGCATTTTTGAAAATTTTGCATTTTTTTACTATTTCTTAATAAGCGTGCCAAGTCAACACGGGAAGAACATTTCCGGACGGAGGGAGTAATTTGAAATCATCCAAAATAGGAGTAAATATAATATCTATTCTCAAAATAAGAATTTCATGTTTTTTCTCAATATACGAGTTTGCACTGTGACATAATTACATTGTATAGTGATATTATATATTGGCATTATTAGCATTATACACTTATTTTGGAGATAAAAATTTGAAGCTCTTACATTATCTTTTCCTTGTGTGCCTTACGTGAGAAAGAAAGGAAAAAGAAAGGGAAAACATTCTTGTTTTAATATTTAGAGAGAGCTCTTGATTTATCGCCCAAATTTTCCAGCCATCCCCTTTAAAGTTTTTGGTCGCCAACGTTCTTACGTTGTTCTTGTTCGTTGGTATGTGGTAGGTCCGTACAATCTCCACACACGATAGCGGTTTTATCCTGGAGGAGAGTGCCCACGTTTTTCAGGTACAGTAGGCGGGCACTACTACCTTAAGGACAGCTCCGGCGACTCCGCTGTCCTTCCGTGGTGGTTTTGTTTGCAGGATTAGTTCATAAAGACCTCGCTGCATTCTGCCCAGTGCATAACGTCCTTGCTGTCCAGTGCTTAATGTCCTCGCTGTCCAGTGCTTAATGTTCTCGCCGTCCATTGCTTAATGTTCTCGCTGTCCAGTGCTTAATGTCCTCGTAGAACAAGGCTGTTTGAAGATATAGAAATTTATCTTCCAACTTTGTTTATTTTCTAATATTCTGAATAAATTATAAATTTAGAATTTTATTTATTTTTTTATTTTTGGGGTCATTCATCTTCCCCATCCGTTGTAATCAGCACAAGAATTGTAACAATTTCAACTAATTCGGACGAGCATTGTACCTTGGAGGCGGTGCAGGTCCTAGAGGCTGCCGCATTAGGCATCCTTTTTGTAAAGTCGAGTCATTTTGGGGCTCCGATTTTTGTTTCACTGAGGGGCCTTCAAGGCTTCAACAACCTTTTTAAAGGCCATACACTTCTTTCGTTTCCCACAATTAGTAAAACTAAACTAGACAAATAATTTGGGAACATAATATAAAATATTATGCTAAATCTACAAATTAGTTACAATATAATTTTTAAAAACTTATTACTCCGGGTATAGTAGAATTAATTGATATGATAAAGTATTTTATTAAATTTTAATGTTAAATAACAATATTAACATAAATTTTTAAATATTTAAAATCAAACCCAAATACACCAGATTGGGGTGTGCATGGGACATGACAGTTCGGGTTTCATACTATCCTGCGTCATGTCCTGTTATATTTGAACGGTTTGAAGCGGTTCAGACCACAAGTCTATCCCACTATTTGAACGATTTCATACTATCCTGCGTCTTCGTCCTTATTTAAAGTTTGAGATAAAATATACCAAACGATAGAGAGGAAAACTGATTTTTTGACTTACAAAAGAATTATGAAAAGTGAAAATAACATGGAGAATTCAAATAAGAATGTTTTAAAACAACCTATACAATAAGGCAACGGTCTTACTTGATCACGATCTGTTCTATAGGTTGTATTTCCAAATCTATACAATAAGGCAATATGCAAAGATTATAATAGAATTAATTAAACACCAAGGTTCCCATGACATTGCCCGGCAATGTCATGGGATGACCGGGGGTGTTCTGGTGCCCCATTCTTAAAATTGACGATTCCTACCCCCTCTAACCCCTCGGTAAACCTCTCATCCTGCCCGACCCGAACACACCCCCACCTCCTTCAATTGCATCCAACAAGTTGATTTTGAATTTGGAGTCAAATTTTGATTCTAAAGTCAAAATACACTTGTGGGGTGCATTTGAAGGGGGTGGGGGGTTTACCGGGGAGTTTAGGGGGGGGATAGAAACCGTCAATTTTACAAACGGGGCACCAGAGCGCCTCCGGGTCATCCTATGACATTGGTTCCCAATGTCATGGAAACCTTGGTGTTAGTTTTTATGTATTTATATAACTACTGTATATTACTACCTCCGTTCCGCTATATTCGTCCACTTTTGACTTTTGGAACTGTTCATCTAAGCATTTTGACTTATCAAATTCTTTCAATGTGTAAGCCTAAATATAGTCATGTGTGATCTTGTTTGATTTGTCTTAACATATAGATTATTAATATATAATTTCTATAATTTTTTAATATACAAATTACAAGATAAAATGGATTAAAGAAGTGTATTGGATGGTGTGCAAAAATGAAAGTGGACAAATATAATGGGACGAAGTGAGTATTAGACTATATACATCGGGACAAATGGTACAACTTATATGGTCCCTAGATGTTCCATTCAGAATTGAGACAAAACAGTTTCGGGACAAAAATAAATAAATCTCAAATAAAACAGCACAATAGAACATTTAGGAATGGGACAATGGGAACCCGTTTCATACCCACCCCAAACAAATCATGACCCGAATCCGAAATTTAGAATCATGCCCCAACCGGAATCCTAGGCCTTCAGCGGCGACTCTACGAGCGACGTTCCTTCCGGCGGCAAATTAGCTCCCTCTCGTGCGCCGGCCAATAACAGTAAGGGTAAGTCTTCATTTTCCTTTGTTTGAAGCCATCTCTCTTCTCTCCTACAAATTGGAGCATTCCTGATAGCATATTTGATGCCAATTCATTACCGCAGATTTTTGCTAAACAGAGTTTGGTAGAATATTTTCAAATCCAATCTGGACACTTTTTATTGAATCAATTTCATTTATTTACTGAAACAGTAGGCAAGTTTTATATATTTGATTGAATTTTTTGATTTTTTGGTCAGACAGTGGTCGTGCATTGAAATGTCAAGTGTCTGTGCTTCTAAAGTTTTAACATTGTTATACTCTGAATAATAATTTCTTATATATAATCTTTATCGCTTTCTTAATATTAATTGTACTCGGATCGTGTAAGATTCAAGTATTTTGATGCATAGTGAAGATTTTACATTTACTTGTTGCTTTAATGCCGTACATATACACATTATTAGCTGTATATTTGACATCTAAACCAGTAAAATCCCACAAAAGTAGGGTATGGAGAGGGCGTGTGTGTTTAAAATATGACAATGAAACATTTATGCTATGTTTTGTTCGAGGAATTTGGAAGGAAATGAAAAAGAAAAAGTTCTCTCTCCTTTTCCTCACCAAAATAGAAATACATTTGTTTTCACTCTCATTAGTTTATTTTGTCCTCTCATTTTTCTTTTTCTTTCCCTTTTCTTTTCTTTTACTCTCTAATCAAGCAAGAAAAATCATTTTCCATATCATTTTCTTTTCTTTTCCTTTTCAAATTCCTTGAACCAAACATATTGTTGAAATGCGTACGGGCACGACGTACATACCCGTATTTGTATTCTAACTGTTTAAAACATAAAGTAATTCATATTCTATGAAATTCCAATGTATTATACACGGACATACATATTGTTTTATTATTCACATATTATATAATACGGAGTACATAGTAGTAGCAAAGATACATACTTACCTTTTAAGTTCGTAACTAACAATATATCTTGTTAGGAATTACAGATAGATTTGATCCATGTCAGGAAAAGGTGAATTGACACAATATTCGTGGAATTTGGGCTGGAATGAAAATTGGTTCAAACTTTGTAGTGATGAAGATCCCATGTACTCTAAAACCTTGCCTTCTGTTAAGTGATGAAGATTCCATGTACTCTAAAACCTTGCCTTTTATTAAGAACTTCTTTTCCTTTGCCTTTATTCTTATTCAGCCACTACTCTAATTTAATAACTCACCATAAACCTAAACTCAAACGTACTCAGAACACAAACCGTTCCTTCATCTTCTCAAACCCACTTCTCTCTTTTCTTGAGAATCAATGCAACTGCATGTCCCATCTTAAGCAAATTCATGCCCAAATGGTCACCACTGGCCTGTTTTCAAATAGACTGGCATCTAGTCGTTTGGTTGCCTTTTGTGCTATCTCAGAAACAGGGAGCCTTGATTACTGCAAATCTTTGCTGTATCATACACAAAGCTCAAATTCATTTTCTTGGAATGTTGCAATCAGAGGATATAGTGAAAGTCAAAATCCAGTTGAAGCTTTATCTTTATATAAAGACATGTTAGCCTCCAATAAAATGGATGTTGATGCTTTAAGGCCTGATAATTACACTTTTCCATTTTTGTTCAAGGCTTGTGGTAGAATGTTGCTGCTCAACATGGGTTTTGAGATTCTTGCACATGTTACGAAAATGGGTCATTATGAGGATAGATTTGTGCATAATGCTTGTGTTCATTTCTTGGTGTGTTGTGGGGAGTTTAAAGTTGCAGAGAAGGTCTTTGGTGAAATTTGTGTGAGAGATGTTGTTTTGTGGAATTCATTGATTAATGGGTATGTAAAGAGTGGTAGACCTTGTGAGGCGCTAAGGGTTTTTAGGGATATGAGACTTGAGGGCATTGAGCCTGATGAAATCACTATGATAGGAATGGCTTTAGCTTGTGGGCAGCTTAGAAGTTTGGAACTTGGGATGGAGTTTCATAGATATGTTGTGAAGGAAATGAATTTTTCTTTGCGTCTTTGTAATTCTTTTTTGGACATGTATGTGAAATGCGGGGACATTGGTAAAGCAAAGGCTCTGTTTGGTAGGATGAATGAAAGGACTGATGTCACTTGGACTACTATGATTGTTGGATATGCAATGTTTGGATTTTTACAGGATGCTAGAAAGTTGTTTGATGAGTTTCCACAGAAGGGCAATGTTGTCACTTGGAATGTGATGATTGGAGGCTATGTGAAGGCCAATTGTGGGAAAGAGGCTCTGGCTTTGTTTCAAGAAATGCAAGCAATGAATATTAAGCCTGACGAGGTGACCATGGTTTGCTGTTTATCAGCTTGCTCACAACTAGGAGCTCTTGAAATTGGATGTTGGATTCATCATTACATCAAGATCCACAACCTCTCTCTTAATGTCTCTCTCGGAACTGCTCTAATTGATATGTATGCTAAGTGTGGCAATGTTGAGAAGGCAGTTCAGGTTTTCCATGAGATGCCCGTAAAAAATGCTTTGACTTGGACGGCTATGATTGGTGCTCTAGCACTTAATGGAGATGCACACAATGCTTTATCCCATTTCAGAATGATGGTTGATGATGTCGGTCTTGCACCAGATGATGTCACATTTCTTGGGGTCTTGTTGGCGTGTCGCCATGGAGGTTTAGTCACCGAGGGCCGTAAAGTATTTGCTGAAATGACCTCTAGGTTCAAAATTCCCCCGAAATCTAAACATTATTCTTGCATGGTTGACCTTCTTGGCAGGTCCGGCTTGCTAAATGAGGCAGAGGCACTAATTACGAGCATGCCAAGTAATGCAGATGCCTCTGTTTGGGGAGCACTCTTTTCTTCTTGCCAAACTCATAGAAACATTGAATTGGGTGAAAAGGCGGCTCTGAAACTTCTTCAGTTGGATCCAGATGATAGTGGGATTTATGTTCAACTTGCCAACATGTACATTGAAGCAAACATGTGGCATAAAGCTCGGGAAGTGAGGAAGATGATTAGTGAAAGAGGGTTAGAGAAAACTCCCGGCTGCAGTTCCATTGAAGTGAATGGTGACATTTTTGAATTTACTGTTAGAGACGGGTTGCACATGCAGTCAGATAAAATTCGTGAATGTCTGATGCAATTGGCAAGACAAATGGGACATCAAGATTGAGTACTGAATATTCCTTTGCTTTAAATCGGTAGGCAATATTCTCTTCAACTCAAGAAGTACAACAACAACAAGTTAAAGTTAGAAGTAAGCATAAGGGTCTTTAACAAATTTTGGCGCCGTTGCCGGGGAAGTTTTGTATGAAATCACTTTAGTATGCCATTGTGTTCTTTTTTTTGTGTTAGTAAGAATGTCGTAGTACCTCTTTTCTTGAGTTTTAATTTTTTTTTCCATGCCTATTCGTAGAATTGAGGTTAAGCGTGTTAGAAGTACCATAATCAGCTTGTTCAAATTATCTTTGTGCTCCATTGTCAGTTTTTGTGAGATTTTTGGCCAATTTTTCATAAAAACTGCATTTTTAGACTTTCTTTGGCATATCTACTTGCTGGTTTTGTTTCTTTCAACCATATACGCTTACTTTGAATGAACATGGTGCTATTTTTCAGAAATTGTGGTCTGTCAATACAGTTTTTTTTTTTTGACAAATTGCACTCTTTTGCTGGTCTAGATGTTGTATTGTGTTCCTGGAAATGCTAATATACCTGCAATTTGAACTCTTGTTGAAATAATCTGCATTTTGAACTTTATTTGGTCTTTTAGTTGTTGATTTTTGTTGATGCAGGTTATAAATTTTGAGTTTGAATGAATTAGTGTTGTTTTCTCAAAGAAAAATGATTTTACTTGCTGTTTCAACGTTGAGTTGAGGGTCTCTTTGGAAACAGCCTTTCTACTTTCGAGTAGGGGCAAGGTCTGCGTACACACACCCTCCCCAGACCCTACTCTTGTGGGATTTAACTGGGTTGTTGTTGTTGTTGTTTTTACTTAGCATATGTGCTGATTTTTGTCCCTTGGAGTGCTTCTTTGCTTCAAATATGAACTCTAGTTGATATATCTTGCTTGGGGTAATATTCTGAAGCATGTCATGATGTTTTTATGCTGATTTTGATGTTTTAGGGGCTGAAGTTTTGATAAAAATTGATCTAAAGTGCTGTTTTTTAAAAAATCTGTATTCTTTTCTTATGCGCAAACTGAATTTTTATGTTCCAAAGATGCTTATGTACTAAATTTTGAACCCTAATTGTTAAAACTTGCATAGGAACTAATGTGGGAGCATTTAGCATGAGTTTTCAATCTTGTCTTGATCCTTATATGCTCCTTGTTGCTCTTAAAATGAAAAAATGCAGAAAATCCGTTTCAAGAAGACTTTGAAGCCTATTTGTGCATCTTCAAATCTGATTTTTCCATTTTTAATTGAACATAAACTGCTATTCTTAGAGCTAAAGTCAATTCTTGATGCTTATCTTGTTTTCATTTTTTTTGGGTGTTTTAGAGAAACACATGTTCTTATCTTACTACTTCATGCCTTAAGTGAATATTTGTTTGCTAGTAGTAAGCTTTGTCTAGCCAAAGACTTTAAACTGGGCGGCTTATGGGAGGCAACCCATTTACTTTTTAAACGTTTTTTTTAAATTTACTCTTACTACTAGTTATTGTTGTAGTTTTTTCTCTTTTAGTTGTTTATTGCATTTTTTCCTTTTTAATATTTTTTTTAACATGACCCACTTATTTTTATAGCATTTTTAATTTTTTTTTCCTTTAAGTTCCTTATGCTTACTTCTAACTTTAATTTGTTGTTTTTTAACTGTCCAAGCTTCTTTTTTTTCTTTCTAAACACTTGCCATCTCGCAGATTTTATTATTCATTCTCCAGTTCTGCATTGGATTCGATTTTCTATCCTTGGCTATTTACATACGCTGTACGGCCATCAGGTTGGATTCTTACTTATTACTCCTTCCCTCCTCAGACCCTACGTTCGTGGGATTTTACTATTGTAGGTGATTCTATTTTACCCTAGATGTGGAAAAGGTGAATCCATGAATATGGGAAAGTTTGAACACTGAAGTCTAATGATGGAGTTGGAGGTTGCATTGGAAGATTTGCTTTTTCCACATTGAGAAGTATGTTTTGGAAGAATGAGTAAGTGAAGTAAAAAAGGGTGAGAAAAAATAGATACGAAAACGGAACAAAAGAACAAACTTTCCGTCTCTGAAAAGTGGTTACGTTATAAGATGACGTATTACCTCTTAAAACTACAATATATATAAACACATACTGATTTTGTCTATATATTCACTTCTGCTGAGGTGCTTAATATAAACTTATCTGAATGCGTGCTTGGAACCGGGCACCGTAGGAGGAATAAAATCAAGAAAAAAAGAAAAGCAAAAGACGATACACATATATGTAATATGTATGTATGTACGAGGTGATCGTATATTGCCATCACATAAATAGAGAAGCATAGAGAAGGTGGTTCCAGGTATCGGGGAGTCCAGGAAGACACCAATGGCTGCAATCCACGCCTGAATGGCCACCCCCACCGTACGTAGATGGGTGCGCGTCTTTTCTAAGCTGAGACAGAAAAGTGATGTCCAGAAGATGAACCGGCTTCTTGACCCTGCTTAGGACTTTGTCAACAACTACGGCGGCTTCTGGTGTCCCCGCCGGATACTTTGATACTTCTAGTGGGAGTTGCTCGCCGTTGCAGTTTCTGGTCGACGACGACATCCATTCGTTTCCCCTGGTAAAAATTGACCCGACATGTTTTTTTTACCCAAAATTGGACCCAAAGATATTGGGAAAGGGAGGGGGGTGGGGGGTAACTGTGTACTTACATGTAATGAGTGGGGGATATTCCTTGAAAGTAGACTGTAGTATTAGAAGGATTAACATTGAGGTCCACCCATTTTGCCCAAGTTGATAAGCCCTTGTAGAATGCCAGCAGCCTGTCCATATCCTTGTACACCTTTGACCCATCTTGTACATAATCCCATCTGCCACAAGAAATACATAAACACTCAATTGTTAAAAACCAATTTTTTCCTTGTTCAAAAAGTGATATAAAAAAATGTGGGTCTCAAAATGTAGAAATAATGACAAGGATTTTTCATCTGATTAATTGCCACAATGGAAGTTTTATTTTTTAAATTTATTACGTACATATTTTCATATATACTGAATTGATAATATACTATAAGTTAATAATCGTAACAGGAAAATTTTTCTGGGACGAAGTTTGAAACGGAGAAGGGAAAAAGAAACGTACGGTTGAGATCGTCCCTTATGAGTCCACCAATGCCACGTGTTGAAGATCAAGACGTCCATTCCTAGCCATGCTTGGCCTTGTTCTATGGAATCCAATTTCAAAACCCTTCCTATATCTTCCTTTACTATATCCACCAAGTATGTTGTGTGATAAAGGTACAAAGTTACTCCATACTTCTGCAACACACAAGATAATATATATATTTATATTTAAATTTTTTGCTTACAAAATCATTTTATAAACATAAAATAAATGAGAGCCCCACAAATAAAGGAGAATCGAGAATATTGTTGAAACATTATTACTTTGGCCCCATGAAACAAGCATATTCAAAACTTGACCTCATATTATTAATTAAATATTAAATTTGGCACCCTTAAATTTCCATAAATGTTGTTGGGTTGACACTTGAATGGTGGTTATTGTGTCCTTAAGTTGTTATTTCCCACAACTGGCACCAACAAGATGACGTGGCTGTCTTGTACAATTGGACCCACCTAAAATTGTTTACCCTATAGCAGGGCCGTTCCTAAAGTTTTGTAGACCCATGTTCTAATAAAAAAATGGACCTAACAGAATTTTAAAAAAATAATTTTATTTTAAAAATTAATACTCCGTATACTCGTACAAAAGATAGTGGGCTCGAAACAATGGTCCATCAATCCATGCTACCCTCTCTTGTGGGCCGGGCTGCTGTAGGGTCTGGGGTATAGTATGGGTCATGGGAGTGCATTAATTTGTGGTGACACAATAGCTATCTTAGCTTCTTAATGATGCTTCATTAATTACTTCTCTACAATGAATATTATTTATACTTTGGCAATGATTAAAAAAAAGACTATATAAACCATGAGAGTCTTGCAAGTACTAGTTAGCTAGGCATGCATTTCTTTTTCTCGATCTAACTGAGATTATACTTCAATTTAACTCTTTCTTTTCTATGTATCTGGTCCATACAGGGTACCCTAGAAATTCGGATAGAATCATACTAGGTATACCTCCAAAGATTAAACCCTAAAAAGTATCTGAAAGTTTAAACTTATATTTTGATGGCTTACATTGACTCAAAATATTAATGCAATTATAAAATAAGTCATCAATCTTGCATTTACATTAAAAAAAATATAAGTATAAATTTTTGGAATAATAATCTTTGGAGTACATGTATATTTATCCGTTGGGTTATAACCTTTTTTTATCAACATTGAATGATTCATCATTTCACTCATTAAGTGCATGAAAAAGAGAAGAATAACGACCACACGAGTTTGGGGGAAACTAGCAAGACAACGTTAGGTGACAGTCTGACAGGGACTCAACCAATGAATATGTATTTAAAAAAACATTTTAAAAAAAAAGGCATGATTTTTTTTTTTGGAATAAAGAATTAAAATGATGAAATAAATTCAATTGGTTAATAAATGAAAAAGAGGTGGGTGGCGCCAGCTGGCCGGCGGGGGGGCTGACCTTAAAATTAAAGGACACAAAGGAGAGAGGTAGCTGGCGGGAAAAGGAGGTTTTGGCGCTGGGGACGGAAGCGTGAATCATGCAAGCCAACGAGTTCCACATGTTCAGACTCAGTGAGTCACCCACAAACATTACCTTCTTCCCATTCCATCTCTTCAACAGCTCCACCCCATCAAACCTGTATGTATATATAAATGTGTGCGTCTTTTTATTATTATTTTTAAAAAACAACATTAAGAAATTTATAAAATTAAATATGATGTGATTATATTATTCAGTAAAAATATCCATGGGAATGTGTAAAGAAACAAGATATGCTACATTTAACCATATAAATAAAGCAGTTGCATATGTATACTATCACAAATATTCTTTTATGGTATGTTTGGAAACATGAATTTGGATTTCAAATCCAAATTTGGCTCAAATTCCATGTTTGGAAAACTTAAAAATTTGTCAAACACTACCTTAGTTCATTTAATGCGGGAATATGAAAATCTTATAAATCTTTCGAGTTTTTTCCCCCTTGCACAAAATTGATGATTTATCAACTCTTATATTCGTAAAAGGATGAAATCCCATCACAGAGGCCCCTCAAAACCGATTGAATAGTTACACAAGAGAGCCTAAATTAGAGTTTAATCACAAAATTGATGATTTATCAACTCATAGATTCATAAAAGGATGATACTCTTCCCCGAAGTCCCTCAGAACTGGTCATACAATCACATCAAAAAAATGAAAATTGAGCTTTAATCACAGAATTGATGATTTATCAACTCATAGATTTATAAAAAGATGGATCAGACTTCATCCCAAAAAGTCCTTCAGAACTAGCCAGACACTTAAATGGGAGGACTTCAATTGAGTTTTAATCACAAAATCGAGGATTTATCAACTCATGGATTCATAGAATGATGAGCCCCGTCCTCGAAAATCTCTCAAAACTGACAAAACTAATGATTTATATCATCTCATAGATTCATAGTGCCAAAGTGGACTACTCTCTCTACCCAATAATAATGTTTTGGTTTACTATTCACATAGTTAAACTTTAATCACTTTGTTAGCTTATTTTTGTTGGCCATTTGATAAAATAACATTGTTATGTCACCTCTAGTTTTGTAAATCTTTTTATGTAGTTTTTTTAATACGTATATAATTTTTATTTTTTAAATCTGTTATATTTTCATATAAAATAATTTAAAAATAACTTCGATCAAATATCGTAATGCGTAACGGCAACATTATTGTTTGATGGAAAATATATTTTATTTTTTCTTAATTTTTTTTATAGAAAGTGGTAAAGACCGGCGGCTGGCCAACTGAGTGGGTAAGGAAGCAAAGTGGTAAAGAGTGGCCAGTTGTCTAATTATAATTAAAAAGACAAATTTGCTCAAAGAATTGGGTCCCCACGTCCCTTATCCGACAAATTGACAAAATCTCATGAAATTTTTTAATTGGGAACTAGTTGTAATATTTACATGTCAAATTTTACTAGTCACACTCAAAGTCAAAATACCCCATTCAAGCAATAGCTGTGAAAGTGACACTTGCTCAAAAATAAAAAAAAAATCATTTTTCACATTAAAAAGTAAAAGATATATTTACTCAAAATTGAACATGAAAGTTGAAATTGATACTAATTTGGGAAAAGAAAGAATTGTATAAGTTCAAATTTAAAGAAGACCTAGAACATATTTGTGTTCAACCTTTTTTGAATTTTCTAGGACAAGACCTACTTAAATTTGTGTCAATCGTGAACTCCCTATGAAAGTATTTAATTGAACATATTTGTGTCATTAAATTTCCATCAATTTAATTATGTTACAAAACATTATTAATTGCAACGCACGTTTAGTACGAGCACTGCGTAATATCAAATGGTCAAAGATTAGGATTGAAAATCATTAGAAAAACCACGGTATTAATTATTAACTCCCCTCCGTTATTAAGCATAAAGAAATTACCCTAAATAGGACTAAAACATAAAGAAAAATACTAACTTTCATGTTTTTTTTCCTGAAATAGGACTTTGCACTGTGGTAATGTGGCAGTATACATGTGCACATTACTATATTTTTTTGGTAATGTATATGACCATGTTTAGTAATGTAAGTCCTATTTCAGAAATAAAAACATGGAAGTCTTATTTTAATATATTTTCAATGTTTTAGTCCTACTTTGATCTTTCTACCTTAAGCATATTTAAGGACAGAAATAAATTTTGATCTTATGAATAATAAATAAATAATTTAATTTGAAATGGAGAGAGTATTACGTACTTCTTTCCTCTCATCAAAAAATTCTTTACACTAATTATTATATGGTTAGTTTAATTTTTTTTCTTTATTTAAATTTAATTAATCATTTGACCATATATTGCGAGTAGTCATTATATCACACAAAAAAGTTTCATAATAGAACCAACACGATTATTAAGAAGGTAAATTGTGACAAAAAGTTTGTTTGGAATCAACACGATTATCATTTTTGAACGTAAAAAATCAAATCTATGAAAATACTCACGGCGGTTGTATTTTTTCCTATACAAATTTCAAAATAAATTAAATTAGGGATCGTTCGATACACAAAATTGATGAAATTAGAATTATATTCAATTATGAGTTAAAATTTTATGAAACTGATTTGCATGGAATTGATGCATCCAATTCCAATTTATTTTTGGCACAATCAATTATAAAACCATATATTTTTGTGCCACCAAACAACATAATTGGAATTGTTATCCCCTATTTCAATTCTATAGTTTGAATTTCGTGTATCAAATAAGAATTTTCATAATTCGAATTTTCTCCTTTTTTTGGGAAGGAGGGACTAAAAATTTTTACCTGGGTAAGTTACAAAACTCTGGCTTCCAAGCATAGTTGAGGTAGCGTTTATCGGGGCGGCCAAATTTGAGGCAATCGAATTCCGGGTCAAGAAATGGGCAGCTGCTGGGCTGGTACAGAGGATACGATGGATCTACGGCCCATTTCCCCCTGAACAAGTTGCACTCGCCTAAACGAGCGCCCACCGGCGCCGCCGCCTGGTCTTCTTCTCCCGCTCGAGCCATACCCGGAGCGTCGCTAACATTGTTAACAAACGCCGCCGTCGGACCTATTAATAATATTAATAATAATAACATAAGAAGAAATAGTTGTTGACCCATAGTCTTTACTGCCATATACCTATGAGCTTTAATTGGTACAAACAGCTCAGGTAAAAGATGACGGCGAATCAAATATGGATAGGATATTAGGAATATATATAGTGGCACGCCAAGATTCCCTTAACACGAGCATGTAGTGTCAACGGATAACGCTCGCTCATTTAGAGCTCATCCGGTGTTTCAAATAATAAATTGATGGTTCCTACTCCTTAAACTCCTTCCTAAACTCTCTACCTCAACCCCAACCCAGCTCGACCCTGTAGCCCCCACCATAGACCCCCCTCGTATGCCCTCCAAATGTGTGTCTATTATGCATTACTGCACAATAGCCACACATTTGGAGGGTAAAAAGAGGGTCTAGGGTGGGGGCGCAGGGGTTGTATTAGGGTGAGATATGAAGTTTAAGGAGGGGTTAGTGGGTAGGATTCATCAATTTTTCATTTGGAGTATTCGAGAAGCTCCAAATGAGCGAGTGTCATCCGTTGACACTAAATACTAGTGTCAGTAGAAACTTACCAATAGCGGCATACTCTCACTCCTTCCCTCTCACTATATTCGTTTGATTTGATTTTTCCCAGTTAAACTAGATGTATTTTTATTAGAGTATTAATTACTCTCAATTTATATTACATACTAGTATCATGAAATAAATTTTGAAAATTTTAAACAAAATAAGTGTTAGAATATGTTTAGGATTTGATAGTTTTCCAATTTTATACAATTATTATTCTAGTAAGAACTTATTTGTTTTACCCTCTTCTTATATAAAGACGGTTGATTCCTTGTATTCAACAAGACAATTCATATAAAATTATTCTCTAGTATTATTTTCTAAAATTCTACAGTTAATTGGCCGATCAGCACAGAGCCGTCTGCTGCTGCTGTTTTAGCCCACCTCATTTGGTAAGGTATCCATCTAGAAGTTCATTTCTAGCGGCCCATTTATCTTTAGTTCAGTTGTCCGTATGGAAAAACGGCATGTGACCCATGTAATCTGATTATTCATCTAGAAATTCATGCCCTGCGATTCGTGGTCCTTTAGGTGTTGGCACTTTCGATCCTTTCATTTCCTGGGTAGGGGGAGTCCATTCGTAATTGGTTAACCGATTAAATTCAAAAAGACATAACTGTCCACTTTAGAGGGAGTGCTAAAAAGTATCCCACATCGGAACTTGAAGAGGAAATAAATCGGTATATAAACTCTTGAATTAGACTAAGTAATCGATTAGATTCAATTTATAATGCGGTTTAGCCAGAATGTCTTATTGCCCAATCTAGTAACTCTTTCTTCATCCTAAATTATTTCATGGTATCAAAGCCTAAAACATATTTTAACAATAAGTCTAGTTAAATCATTTTTATACTAATTATATTACTCGTACATTTTAGTTTTATTTAATTAAAATCCAAAAATTTTCTCTGTTTTGATTGTGACGTTTTTTAATGAATTAAAATTTAAATACTCCGTAATTATGATTTTTGTAGAAGAAAGATAATTGGAAATGATCACACACTGTTAGTATGTTCAAAATGTTTTAACCAACGAGTCTAAAACAAAAAACAACTGTGAAAAGGAGTGAAAATTGTTATTCTTGGAAAATCGCTACAAAGCCTTGTCACGTCACACGTGAACTTTTTTGGTACCCCTTTTTGTGTTACTTTACTATGCAGAGTGAAGTATTATACTCTGTCCCAAAGTATTTGTCCATTTTCATTTTTATACACCATCTAATGCACTTTTTTAATTAATCTTATCTTGTAATTTGTATATTAAAAAATTATAGAAATTATATATTAATAATCTATATGTTAAGACAAATCAAACAAGATCACACATGACTATATTTAGACTTACACATTGAGAGAATTTGATGAGTCAAAGTACTTAGATGAACAGTTCTAAAAGTCAAAAGTGGACAAACAAAGCGGGACGGAAGTAGTATTTTTGTTGTATTTTATTGTGAATTCACAACTGTAAATGAATTAAAGGGACGATAAGACGAATATTAAAGGTATCACAAAGCCACAAAGGACTGAGATTAATCGTCGTTCCAAAAGGTGGAATCGCCCACCCCAGGCGCCCCCACCCCCTTGCCCGACAGGAATGGTGGAGGAAGTAAATCATGGTGACTCAGTCAGCCAAGAACGCTAGACCCGTGCCCACCGCGCACAAGGAGCCTCCTCACCTTTTTATGGGATTTTTGGATAGCTCCCACACTGCCGCTTGCGGGACTCGATCCCTGGTCATCGTTCCAAGATTTCACGCTCTTGACCAACTGAGCTGCCCATGCGGGCGACTGAGATTAATGCTAGTAAACGTGATGGATGTTTAGTCATAGTCCTAAAATGTGTCTTGAATGAACCATAAATTCCGCAATAATAACCGCATTAATGATCACTTAATATCACCTATGGGTTTCCTTAACACTTTGTTTGGCAAACAGGCAAAGGAAATATGGAGGAATTGGATGGCAAAAGAAATAAAGAAAACCCCTTAAATAGGAGTAAAACATATGTCATGCCTCAAAATACGAGTATTAACTTAAACTCCTCTAAATAGGAGTAATTAATTAAATAATAAAGAAAACCTCATAAATAATATTAAATCTCTAATTAATCTCAACTTTCTGCTTTCTCTCCTCACGGCCACCCCACCATGCCTCTCTCTTCATACGTGAGCGAGTTGAGGAAAATAAACTTTGTATTGAGCATATAAGTACTAACAATATGCTTGCGGATTCAATGACTAAAGGTCTTTCTCCTAAATTTTTTGAAGGCCATGTTTCAAAGATGGGGTTCTCTAAAGACTTTTGATGGGCCGAAACCCAGTGGGCGGCCCAACTGAACCATTTACACCACTTCGGGTCAGACACTCGGAGAATACCCAGGTCTGGGCCGGCCCATGGAGTCAGGCCCGGTTGACTTTAGACCAAACATAGCTGGCAGAGCCGGTTACGGAGAAGGAGACGGAGCAAATTGGCCGTTACAGAGCCGGAAAAAGGGGATCGCGCCCTTAACGGGATAGACTCCATCGATTATGCGTTACCCTTAAGTGCATGTA